GTGCAGGGTATGTGGGTGTCAGGAGCCCAGTGCAGGGTACGTGGGTGTCACGTGGATCTGTGGGGGCATCTCCTGGCCCTCGCTTTGACCAATGGCCCCACCTACCTGTCCTGGAGTGAATGAGCCAGAGCCCCCCGGTGAGAGAGACGCCGATGACAAAGGCTGAGAAGACGATGCCCACCACAGTGGGCAGCTCCAGGCCCTGGGGCGGGGGTGCTGCAGGCAATGGGAAGAGTGAGGCCCCCACAGCCGTGCCCCTGTGGGGGCATCTCCTGGCCCTCGCTTTGACCAATGGCCCCACCTACCTGTCCTGGAGTGAATGAGCCAGAGCCCCCCGGTGAGAGAGACGCCGATGACAAAGGCTGAGAAGACGATGCCCACCACAGTGGGCAGCTCCAGGCCCTGGGGCGGGGGTGCTGCAGGCAATGGGAAGAGTGAGGCCCCCACAGCCGTGCCCCATGAGCACATGCAGAAAAATGGAGCCCAGCAGCCCAGGCTCCCAGACCCCCCCCTCACCTGCTCCCACCCAGTAGCCCCCAACCCCCTCTCAGAGCAGGGACTAGAACCCAGGAGTCCCAGCTCCCATCATGCTCTCTGTACCCATGAACCAAGAGGAGCTATGAGCTCTCTACAGCCCACCGGGCAAGCAGACCACAGGGGGTTTAGGGTCACTAGGAAGGGGGCAGGGCACTAGGAAGGGGGCATTCCTTACCGGGGGCTGTTTCTCTCTGCTCTGGCCGGGGCGCCTCCTTCAGTGTGTTTCCCATCCTGCCAGACAGAGGGAAGGGCATCGGGAAGAGATCTGCTGGGAAAAGACAAGGGAGCCAGAAACACTTGAAGAGAAAGATGGAGACATCTCCTGGTCTCCAGGTGTGCTCCCCCCAGCAGGCAGTGCTGACTACAGGGCCCCAATGTGGCGGTGGGGTGCTCCCCCGGCAGGCAGGGCTGACTACAGGGCCCCAATGTGGCGGTGGGGTGCTCCCCCGGCAGGCAGGGCTGACTACAGGGCCCCAATGTGGCGGTGGGGTGCTCCCCCGGCAGGCAGGGCTGACTACAGGGCCCCAATGTGGCGGTGGGGTGCTCCCCCGGCAGGCAGGGCTGACTACAGGGCCCCAATGTGGCGGTGGGGTGCTCCCCCGGCAGGCAGGGCTGACTACAGGGCCCCAATGTGGCGGTGGGGTGCTCCCCCGGCAGGCAGGGCTGACTACAGGGCCCCAATGTGGCGGTGGGGTGCTCCCCCGGCAGGCAGGGCTGACTACAGGGCCCCAATGTGGCGGTGGGGTGCTCCCCCGGCAGGCAGGGCTGACTACAGGGCCCCAATGTGGCGGTGGGGTGCTCCCCCGGCAGGCAGGGCTGACTACAGGGCCCCAATGTGGCGGTGGGGTGCTCCCCCGGCAGGCAGGGCTGACTACAGGGCCCCAATGTGGCGGTGGGGTGCTCCCCCGGCAGGCAGGGCTGACTACAGGGCCCCAATGTGGCGGTGGGGTGCTCCCCCGGCAGGCAGGGCTGACTACAGGGCCCCAATGTGGCGGTGGGGTGCTCCCCCGGCAGGCAGGGCTGACTACAGGGCCCCAATGTGGCGGTGGGGTGCTCCCCCGGCAGGCAGGGCTGACTACAGGGCCCCAATGTGGCGGTGGGGTGCTCCCCCGGCAGGCAGGGCTGACTACAGGGCCCCAATGTGGCGGTGGGGTGCTCCCCCGGCAGGCAGGGCTGACTACAGGGCCCCAATGTGGCGGTGGGGTGCTCCCCCGGCAGGCAGGGCTGACTACAGGGCCCCAATGTGGCGGTGGGGTGCTCCCCCGGCAGGCAGGGCTGACTACAGGGCCCCAATGTGGCGGTGGGGTGCTCCCCCGGCAGGCAGGGCTGACTACAGGGCCCCAATGTGGCGGTGGGGTGCTCCCCCGGCAGGCAGGGCTGACTACAGGGCCCCAATGTGGCGGTGGGGTGCTCCCCCGGCAGGCAGGGCTGACTACAGGGCCCCAATGTGGCGGTGGGGTGCTCCCCCGGCAGGCAGGGCTGACTACAGGGCCCCAATGTGGCGGTGGGGTGCTCCCCCGGCAGGCAGGGCTGACTACAGGGCCCCAATGTGGCGGTGGGGTGCTCCCCCGGCAGGCAGGGCTGACTACAGGGCCCCAATGTGGCGGTGGGGTGCTCCCCCGGCAGGCAGGGCTGACTACAGGGCCCCAATGTGGCGGTGGGGTGCTCCCCCGGCAGGCAGGGCTGACTACAGGGCCCCAATGTGGCGGTGGGGTGCTCCCCCGGCAGGCAGGGCTGACTACAGGGCCCCAATGTGGCGGTGGGGTGCTCCCCCGGCAGGCAGGGCTGACTACAGGGCCCCAATGTGGCGGTGGGGTGCTCCCCCGGCAGGCAGGGCTGACTACAGGGCCCCAATGTGGCGGTGGGGTGCTCCCCCGGCAGGCAGGGCTGACTACAGGGCCCCAATGTGGCGGTGGGGTGCTCCCCCGGCAGGCAGGGCTGACTACAGGGCCCCAATGTGGCGGTGGGGTGCTCCCCCGGCAGGCAGGGCTGACTACAGGGCCCCAATGTGGCGGTGGGGTGCTCCCCCGGCAGGCAGGGCTGACTACAGGGCCCCAATGTGGCGGTGGGGTGCTCCCCCGGCAGGCAGGGCTGACTACAGGGCCCCAATGTGGCGGTGGGGTGCTCCCCCGGCAGGCAGGGCTGACTACAGGGCCCCAATGTGGCGGTGGGGTGCTCCCCCGGCAGGCAGGGCTGACTACAGGGCCCCAATGTGGCGGTGGGGTGCTCCCCCGGCAGGCAGGGCTGACTACAGGGCCCCAATGTGGCGGTGGGGTGCTCCCCCGGCAGGCAGGGCTGACTACAGGGCCCCAATGTGGCGGTGGGGTGCTCCCCCGGCAGGCAGGGCTGACTACAGGGCCCCAATGTGGCGGTGGGGTGCTCCCCCGGCAGGCAGGGCTGACTACAGGGCCCCAATGTGGCGGTGGGGTGCTCCCCCGGCAGGCAGGGCTGACTACAGGGCCCCAATGTGGCGGTGGGGTGCTCCCCCGGCAGGCAGGGCTGACTACAGGGCCCCAATGTGGCGGTGGGGTGCTCCCCCGGCAGGCAGGGCTGACTACAGGGCCCCAATGTGGCGGTGGGGTGCTCCCCCGGCAGGCAGGGCTGACTACAGGGCCCCAATGTGGCGGTGGGGTGCTCCCCCGGCAGGCAGGGCTGACTACAGGGCCCCAATGTGGCGGTGGGGTGCTCCCCCGGCAGGCAGGGCTGACTACAGGGCCCCAATGTGGCGGTGGGGTGCTCCCCCGGCAGGCAGGGCTGACTACAGGGCCCCAATGTGGCGGTGGGGTGCTCCCCCGGCAGGCAGGGCTGACTACAGGGCCCCAATGTGGCGGTGGGGTGCTCCCCCGGCAGGCAGGGCTGACTACAGGGCCCCAATGTGGCGGTGGGGTGCTCCCCCGGCAGGCAGGGCTGACTACAGGGCCCCAATGTGGCGGTGGGGTGCTCCCCCGGCAGGCAGGGCTGACTACAGGGCCCCAATGTGGCGGTGGGGTGCTCCCCCGGCAGGCAGGGCTGACTACAGGGCCCCAATGTGGCGGTGGGGTGCTCCCCCGGCAGGCAGGGCTGACTACAGGGCCCCAATGTGGCGGTGGGGTGCTCCCCCGGCAGGCAGGGCTGACTACAGGGCCCCAATGTGGCGGTGGGGTGCTCCCCCGGCAGGCAGGGCTGACTACAGGGCCCCAATGTGGCGGTGGGGTGCTCCCCCGGCAGGCAGGGCTGACTACAGGGCCCCAATGTGGCGGTGGGGTGCTCCCCCGGCAGGCAGGGCTGACTACAGGGCCCCAATGTGGCGGTGGGGTGCTCCCCCGGCAGGCAGGGCTGACTACAGGGCCCCAATGTGGCGGTGGGGTGCTCCTCCAGCAGGCAGTGCTGACTACAGGGCCCCAGCTGGGCACTAAGGGGCTATGCACTGTGCATTGGGGTGCACCGCTCACCCTTGGCAGGGGATAACGACCCTGGTTCCCCTGCTCATTGCAGAGAGATCCCAGCAGGGCCTTGGTGTGTTCCAGTCTCTCTGCCTGCTCCCGTAACCAGCCCCCAGCCCGCCCCTGCTCTCACCTGGCCCCGGGCTGGGTGGGGCGGCTCTGGGCTGGCTCTCCACCGTGACGATGATGGGTCTGGTGAAGGTGTGCTGGAACCGCCCGCTGCCCGGCTCCCCCCCACTGCTGCTGGCGCATGCCTGGGTCTCAGGCCCACACTGAAACTGACAAGGCTCAGACCGGCATCTTGTACCCATACCAGACGCTCACCCCCTCCCACCTTCCCACTCCCAGCTCCTGTCCCTCCCCCACTGTTCCCATCCCAATTCCCAGCCAGCTGGTATCAGTTTACACTGGTAGGCCAGAGAGAGAGAGCAACCCAGCTTGCAAAGAGTCACAACTGTGACCAAGAGTCCTGACTCCAGCCATTAGACCCCACTGCCCTTCCAGAGCTGGGGACAGAACCCAAGAGGCCTAGCCCTGGCCCCAGAGCAGCACCAGCCAGGTGAACCCGGAGACAGAGCTGCCTGCTGGGGGGCTCGGCCCCTGCCCTGCATCTGCCAGCCCAGCCAGTGCTCCCAGAGTGCCTGCAGCCCAGGGTAGCGATCTGGCCTGGGACACAACCCCTGGGGGGGGGGGGGTAGGACTCGGGCTGGCTTTGCCACTTGAGCTAGAGGAGACTCCCCCGCTTGCCACAACAGTAGTTGGGCTTTTATCCTCCCAGTGGCCTGCAGGCTAGAGCCATGCACAATGGCGCAGGCCGGGTCCCATCCGGAAGGGGGCAGCGTGGGACAGACCTTGGGGAGGGCGCCCTCATAGGCCCCAGCCTGGCTCTGGGCCTCCTGGGTGCAGAGGGCCAAGCGGCAGTGCAGGAACTGGATGGGGGCCGGAGCAGGAAGCTGAGGCGCTGCAGCTCCTGGGAGCCGGGGGGCAGCATCTGGCCTGCGGCCCCCTTGTGAGGCGGGTGCAGGGTAACGTCGGGGTGGGCCGGGCAGCCCCCCCAGGCCAGCGAGGAGGAGGAGGAGCTCGGCGAGAGGACGCAGAGGCAGATGCTGAAGCTGAGCCAGGGGTCAAAGGCAGCCAGAGCAACCTGCGCAGAAGGTCGGGGAGAGACATCAGGAGGGGAGGGGACGGCTCGGCCAGATGGGTCCCACTCCACAGATATGACCTGCCTCCCCCCCGCATGGAACCCAGGTGCCCCGGCACCCACCACCGCTCTCATCCCCGATCCTGCCCTAACCGGGGACAGAGCCGAGGAAGGCGGATTCCCAGCCCCCCTGCCCTAACCACTAGACTCCACTCCCCCCCCAGAGCCAGGGATAGAACCCAGGAGTCCTGACTCCCATCCCCCCAGCTCCAACACTGCCAGTCCCACCTCCTCGCATGGAACCCAGGTGCCCCGGCACCCACCACCGCTCTCATCCCCGATCCTGCCCTAACCGGGGACAGAGCCGAGGAAGGCGGATTCCCAGCCCCCCTGCCCTAACCACTAGACTCCACTCCCCCCCCAGAGCCAGGGATAGAACCCAGGAGTCCTGACTCCCATCCCCCCAGCTCCAACACTGCCAGTCCCACCTCCTGCCAGATTAATACTGTGACTCCACAGAGAGACGGGGGGAGGGGGGGAAAGGGGCCTGGGAGAGGGGACCCCACGGTTCCTGCCTGGCTAGCGCTGCCCCCGGGGGCCTGCCCCCCCCCCCAC